TATTTGGTGCCAGGATGTAAGACATTTAGAACATGGCTCACATGAATATTGACTAACTGAAGAAAAGAGGATTAGATTTGAAAACGATCCGCATGTCTCGCAAAACCACAAAAACGCCAGTGGCTTGCTAGTTCCACAGTGATATGTCCACAGTGCCTTGAGGTCGATAGTGCCTAGTGTGCAGCGATGCCCATGAGAATGATGAGAATGCTATCCCCTAGTGTTCCAGCATTGCTTCGGCGGTTTTCAAATGTTTTCTACTTGCCCAAATTTTGCTTGAATTCTGCCTGAGTCTTGAAGCTGGAGTTTGCTGCTAGGAACAGAGCATAACTTGAAGACACCACTACGAACAAAGCACGTCTCGGATGCAACAGACCTTTCACCACTGAGCTAGTTGAAGCGTCCTTTATACACAGTGCTTTGCTTTTGATCTTTCCAAACTTTGATGCACCCGCTTTGCGCTCAAAAGGCAGAACATGTCCACTACGAAAAAGTACACTGAACTTGTGTGCCGCCAGGTTGAGATCTGAACGAGTACGTTCTGTGCTTGCAGCCGAACGCCTGTGTGTCAGCATGCCGCATGTTCCAGCATTGCTTCGACGGTTTTCTACTTGCCCAATTTGTGCTTGACTTCCCCGAGGGTCTTAAGCCATCAGGGAAGCGCAATGGTCCGACAAAACACTTGGCATGCTTGAGTTTTCAGGCTGGAGTTTGCTGTTGTGAACAGAGCATCAATTGAAGACACCACTACGAACGAAGATCCAGCAGACGGGTCCACAGAACCTGCATCATGAGCATTGGTAGTGAGAGTCTTAGACACGCAATTGTTCAGTTGCATCTCATTGCCTTCCACAGCAAAAGATTTATGACATGCCCTGAAATGGCAGGGTGTTTTTGCAGGCAAAACAGCGGTGCAGATTTCCAAATCACAATACAGTCGGCAAAGTTGCGAGCACAAGAACAACGGCTGTTTAATGAGAAGAGGGCCAGATTTGGAAACCAAGGACGTTTCGGATGCAACAGACCTTTCACCACTGAGCTAGTTGAAGCGTCCTTTATACACAGTGCTTTGCTTTTGATCTTTCCAAACTTTTAGTTTTGATGCTTTGATGCACCTGCTTTGCGCTCAAAAAGCAGAACATGTCTACGAAAAAGTACACTGAACTTGTCAATCAGCGGGATCATCTAGGAACCCCCCTGCCTTTTTGGGTTTTGTGAGTGTCAAGCTGCCCATTCCAGCCAGCTCCCACGGTGGGGTCATCAGTCGACCCGCGACGTGACGTGACCCCGGCGCCAAATCAAACCCCTACACTTGCAGACACACAATAATTTCTTGCATGAATCCAAGCGAATGAAGACTTGATGAATCCATCCTAAGATTGGTCGGAAATAGCCTCACAAGCGAGTTCCGTGTCTTTTTGGGATGCACAGATTTGGAGAAGAGCGGGAAGCCTTGCGAAGCCTAATCTGTAGGCAGCAATAGATTTTTACAGGAAGGCTCTTCGCGTAGGCTACGTTACACGTAAAGTGATATTAAAGGACCAAGGCACCCTTCCGGTCCTGGGAAGGCGAAGGCCAGACGTAAGCATTTGCGAAGGCCTCTTGGAGTGTGTAGGGCTTAGGCACCCAAGAAAAACAGCACTCACTTCGTGTTTGGCAGGGATTAGCAAACCATAACAATTTGACAAAGCACTTGGCATGCTTGAAGAACAATGGAGCTTGCTGCCTCCATGAACATAGCATCATTTGGAGAGAATGGCGAAACTCCCGTCCAACACAGTAGCTTGGAGCACCGTCGAGCAACAAGGTACATTTCGACGTGCAAAACGATACATGAATCCCCAGAAAACGATGACACAGAAGCAATGTTTGATGTGGAACCCACAATGTCTTCCAGCAAGCAGGTGGAGCCCTCCATATGAGATGTATTGTAATTTGTTTGGTTTCATGTCTACCAGGGATGATAAGAGGTTTCCATTTCAGCTTTCTTTTGTTGACCCTTTCCACAAAATCTTTCCGTTTTTGAACGATAATCAAAACGATAACGACATGTGCTTCGATGGATGACTTGCCGAGAGTACACAAAAGCCAGCTGGCCCAGCGGCCCAGCGGCCCAGAGGCCACGACCTGCTGGCCAGCTGGGCCTGCGCTAAGCAGGGGTTTAAGTTGAGGCAATCAGGATATATAAAATTATGTAGTGAACTCCCAAACATGTGCACATCGCTGATTTGAATTGACTACCGCAAACCAAGATTCAGCAGGTGTGTCCACAAAATTTTCATTTGAGCATCCGTAGATCAATGGTGTAAGGCTTATTTGAAGACATTAGAATGTCCGATTGAGCCTTGCTGCGTTGCATAGCAGAGGTTCACATAGCATGCCCCAATCCGCATTCAAGATGATATTGTACAAGGATTGCGAACTGGAGCTTGGTGTGCTATCGCAGCCCAATGTGGTCGGCATGAGCCTCGTGAGCGTATGAAAACTCCCCGATAATAGAGAAGCGAGCCAGATTTGAAACCCAAGCATGTCTTGGGTGGAACAGACCTTTCGCCATTTGGCTTGGTGAACAGGTACTACTGTACTACCTTGTTTGGTCTTCTTTGAAGTAGAAAGCCAGGGCAAGTAAACTTGAGAGCAGAGGGCATCGGCTGATTGATACTTTTGCCAGAACTGGCGGCCATCAAAAAATGTAAATGTGCATTTGCAGGCTAGCTTCGCGAGTTTTATGGCCAAACCATGAATGTTTTACTTTGAAGTCACAGGGCGACCAAGCCAATTCGCTGGCCCTGTTTCGTATGTTGAGTTTCCCCAATTTCTCGATCCGGAAACGGAAACCGGCCTGTGCACTTCGTGCACTTGACCTGGGGAGAGTTGAGAGACTCTAAGTTGCACTAGTCACTAGTTTTTCACGATAAGGCTTGGTGTCCTGGTGGTAATTCCCCAAACAGTGTGTCTACACTAAGGGTTTCTTACGGTAAGTGTAAAGGCCGGTGCTTGATCAGGGTGCTCCAGCTGGGCCGCGGCACTTTTCGTGTCAATTTCCGAAAAAAAAATGGCTCTTGTGACACAGAGAGTTTTTTTCCCCGTTGTTGTGGCGCGACCGTTTTCCTGTAACTTTCCGTACACACATATGACATGTGCATGTATACATATATGTATACGTATTATTAGAATTATGATGAATTATACTGTATACTACACATCTATAGCCCGGTTTACAACAAGAATTTTGATCCAGATCGTATCAGATCGTGCTGACTAAGGAGACACTGCGCTCAAAGAGGTGCTGCTGATGCTGGGACCGGGTCATCTCTGAATCTAAAAAGTTGCGCTCCGAACGGCAGTTGATTGGGAGGTGTACAAGTCGAACTTGGCGATTGGGGGATTCATGGGGATTCATGGGGATTCATGATCGTGAACAGGTCTTGATCCAAGTATGCAGTGGACCAAATTCAATGTTTGAGTAGGACATGAAGTTTCCATGATGTGATGTGCAGCTCAGGGGTCCTGAAGTGTTGCTTCTTGCGCAGGCCCACTGTCTTGATCCGTCATTGAGCAATGCCTTGTTTACTGAACATTCCAGCATTCCAGTTTATGAACAACAACTGGAACATCACATCACATGTCATCTCCGCTTGCATTTTCAGAGACAGATCTTTTCGCTGGGGGCTTTGTTTTTGACCTTATTACGACAGGGTTGTCCGCGGGCCACGGTTGATGGAGCTACCTACCGTCTTGAGTGAATGGCTGGCCACCTTGTGCAACTGGGACCCTTGAGGTTGGTGGTGCAGCAGATGTCTTCCGAATTTTCTTGGGTGGTGAGCCTTTATTTTTTCCCCTAACAGAGTTTGCTTAGGGCCTAGAAGTCTCAGCCCAGACAAAGCTTCGGTGCAGTTGCTGGTGCATGTTTCGGGCTGGTTGCGGGAGTGGCACATCCGGTGGTGTGGGTTCCGAGATGGTTCTGCAGATTTTGGTACCGGTTGCGGCTTGGTTCTGGGTAGTTCCGGAGATTTTGGTGGTTCCGGTGTCGGTTCTGGAATGGTGTTCACTGGCTGCTGTCACGCTTTCCTATCACCACTTTCGTGTTGGGGATACCACCTGGGTTTATGTTTCTATGGTCATGACATGACACTTGACCGAGTTGACCAGTGAAAGGCTCGAACAAACCGGCAAAGACATTTTGACCCTGCGTAGCACATGGCTATGAATCAAGAACTTGGTACTCATAATACCCATCCTTCACATCAAAATAGCTGGAGGTCTTGTGGATTTTCATCCTGTTGTATTACTGCTATTGGGAAAATCATGACCCACCCATGCCTGACATGGACCAAAATGGCCAACACTGCCAGTGGGATTGAAGCACACCAAGTCTTCATTTAGATAGGAAAAGGATGATGAGTCTAGGGAAAGTGGATTCCTGACTGGCGTTTTTACATTTTCGACACATTTTCAACCTGGATATTTTGGATGCTGATCCCAGCTGACAGGCACATATACAGTATATGATGTGCCAGTACATGTGTGGTGCTCTGGGCTGTGTTGGAGCAGAGAAGTGGAAGCTGTTTCACTTAGAGGGACGCCGGGGAGACAAAGGGAGTCAGGAGACAAATTCGACACCGACAGCCAAGACAGAAGGGAGAGAGAGACAAGGCGGCAGGAGAAGCCAAGAGAAGCCCGAACGAAATTCACCAAGGAGGAGGGGAGGGAACCGAGACCGAAGGCAGACAGAAGGACAGAAGGGATACAAGCTTGGGAAGCAGAGTGGCAGTGACAAATTTACTGAGTCGTCCACAACGAAACTCAGCCTCCGGCCTATTGAGAAGTAAGAACCACCATAGCTGACGTTATTTGGACAAAAACGGGACATATCATCCTCTACATCCATATCCTCAAACACGGGACATCTCATAGTTATCTTATAGTTATCTCATGTATGCTCCAAGTTTTGAAGCCCCCCATTCTGTAACAGGCCGGCCCATCTTCCTGATGCCCAGGTAACAGGGGCCATGTCAGCCGCGGCTGTGTCAGCCATGGCCAATGGTGTCAGCCGTTGGCGGCTCATGCAGCCAGCCCTTCTGCTACGTGTCAGATAAGGCGCTGACGGCCTGTCTGAATCAACGTGGCACCTGGGCCACCTACTTAGATGAGGGCAATGCTAGCAATGGTTGGCTGGATAGCTGTGCCATACCTTCAGGGAGTAGATCTGAGATTCTTATCTTTTCGTTTGAAAGGAAATCATCTAGTGTTAGCCATGGTCAGGAAGGTATGGTTCAAATTTTATTACCCGCCATTGGATAGTCTCTAGGGATGATGGTCCAGAACATCTTCAAACCGAGCCGAGCCTCCTATTACTTCAGTATTCAAACACCTCCGTTTCGCTTCATCCTCGTTTAGACAGCAACGTAAAAAGCTGCGCTTGAGGCAAGTATGGGAGATGGAGAGACATAGTGAGCATTCTGGAGGACAGCCACCGAATGCCAGGCTATACCTTGGGTTGTTTGTTGATTCATGGGTCCACCGCGAAAAAACCATCCACTTCCAAAGCAGAATGATCCTTTCCTGTGAAGAAAACTACTTAACTACAGTTTCCTGTCAAGTTTCCTCGAAGCGATTTGATCTACTTCAAGTTTTCCATGGTCCCACCGAAGGAAACTGCAATTCAGAGACTTCGACCCAACTGCATCTCCACAAATGCCGCGCTCTCGGCTTTCTCGCGAAGTTCGAGGCGCTGCTCCAGACAGGGAAAGTTATGGGGTGAGTTTTTGAAGATTTCGGAACCACCCTTTTCTGAAGTCTCCTTATTTCACAGGGATTATAGACCTTTTTTTTGAGTTTCAGCCACCTTTATTGGGATTTTGGTCAAAACAAACTTGGTTGATTAATTGGATGGGTAGCATTGCAGTAGTTCAGCACTTTTGGGGTGACCCTTAACAAATGAACCTGGATGAGCCCGAAGAGCAGTGTCTAATCCAGGTATCCCAATTCATTCACCTTATCTCAGCCAGGAACTATTCTTGCCAGGCTTAACAGGCTTAACGGCTTAACATATAACTACATATGGCTACATGTGCCATGGACAAAAGTTGGGTAGCCACTGGGCCAAAGCCTCCACCCCGCATGGTCAGACTGGCAGCGTCCTGTCTCAATGACATTCGCGCCGCAGTTTTTTTGTACACCTGGTTTCCAAACTCACCTTGGGATGTTATTGTCTGCCTGTTGTTCCACTTTGTCCGTGGGTGGTGTGGCATCGGTTGGTTTAATCACGTACAATTTCATTGTCCTAAAGCAAGCTTTCCACAACCATATTTCCTTGTTGCCCTTGAGATTTGCGATGGCTTTCGTTGTTATCTCCATGCTCTTTGTTTCAATGGAGGGTGCTTGTTTCTGGTTTGACCCGTCTGCAATTTGGTGTGCAATGGTTTTGGATGATGCGGTGAATATTCCTGCGATGGTATGGTGACTTTCGCCACATGAACTTTTGACTTGCAGAGTGCTCGCAGTGGAAAAGCTTACGTGCCTGTGGTTCTTAGACTCCTTATTCGGGTATATGCAGGTGCTTTTTTTGCCAATGACTTGACATCATTGCAATTGACTGTGATTGTCGGAAAGTTGTTCTGATTGCCTTCGCAGCCTGCTGCAATTTAACATATATAAAAACGTCAGCCATGCTGATCTCGGTCAACGCCGTTTTGGTGTACTGCCCTCATGTACTGTGTGATTGGCCAAGGGGCCGTGGCGTGATGCCGTGACTTTCCTGGAATTATTCTTTCGCCTTGTCAGTGGGTTTGCCTTCTGTGCTATTTGTGTCACGTGTCAAGTACTCACTCCCAGTGCTTGGGTTTTGCCATGGTTGTGATCGCCTGCTTCATGCCCTCTGTCAAAAGTTGGGTTTTATATTTATGTGTATATATATATATACTGTATGTATATATATATAATATTATATATATATTATACTGTATATATATATATATTATATAATAAATTATATATATATGGGAGGAGAATTACGCTGCCTTGAATAGGCACTTGTAATGGTCAATAAAAGGAAGTCCTGGTGATGGTGGGGTGACCATATTGTGACCATGGCTATCGGATTGGTTGAAACCGCAAATTGCCTTCCAAAACTAGATGGGCTAGTACTGAACTCATCGATTTTCTGGGTTGGTATGCAATTCTTGAGCCCGAACCATGTCTGTCTCTAAATCAAATATCTGCATCTTTATTGATCTCTATTTCGATATCTGCATCTACATCTATCTCCATCTACCTACTTCTAGTTGCTTCCATCTACATTTGCCTACTTCTATTCACATCTATCTACTATATAGATCAATCTATACAAGCCTATGTGTGCAATATCTTATTAACATCTACATATGTATCTTGATGTACAACACATCTATCTATCGATCGATTGATTCATCGATCCTTTTACATATCGAAACATATTCATACGTATCTGAAATAAAACAACATAAAACAACTGTACGATATGCAACCGTAGGGTACCGTACGTATGGTCACATAGACGTTACCATAGACTCAGGTGGTCCTGGACACTCTGCTACTTTCACTATTTGGAGATCGACATGATCGACATGGTCACCTGTGGCACCGTGATCCATGCCCTGGGGCTTGGAGGTGCCTTAAGAGATTTCTTCTTAGCGCAGATATAAAATCTCTATATTGAGCATCATAAAAACCTATTGTGAATCGTATTTCTAAAATTAAAAAACGCATTTTTGTTTCAAACATATATTAATTGGTTTGTGCAAAAAGCCCTTCCAGCTTGTTTCCCATTTCCTGCAGGCCTGACGCTGCCGGCTTTGAATTTGTACGCATCGATGTCCAGTCGCCGCCTGGAACCCTGTATCACCACCTTGAACGAAATTGTCACCGCTTGCGAGCGAGGCAGGGGCTTTGCTGGGCTTGAGGTGTGGGTTCCCCGAAATTCTATTTTTTTTGGGGAAACTTGTGATAAACCGGGTGGATTTTGTTTTTCCCCAAAAAATCAGATAAACTCAGATCTTTTGACAAAATCATTCTTTCGAGGCTGCCAAAAGGGGACAACTGTGAAACTGAAATTGTTGAACCACAGCATGGCCAAAATTCACCGCAAAGGAACATGGGGTTTGGCATCTAAAGCTTAGATACTGGAAATTTTGCTGCTTTTTCTGGTGGCCCGTTCTGGGTACTTAATAGCCATGGGGAGTGTCTTTGCTTGCAGGTGATGTGTACATGTAGATATATGTATGTCTCCGCACATACACAGGTATATATATATGTATAGACAGGTATATATTTATATATACATATTCTGCATGACTTGGTGTGGATAGGGAAAAATGTGAAGGACACGTATATAGATTATTAAACCTGCGCAGATATGGTGTACGCTTGAAAAAGGAGATAGGCAATTCCAGTAGGGTGCAACCCTTACTCTTCTGAAAAGATGTCACAAACTGTACTGTTTTGTTGGAACGGCAATTGTTTCTTTGAAGAAAAGGCTTCACTTCTTTAGAGGAATGTTGCACACCTTTCAATCAATTGCTTCCCTCATCCGAGAGTCCGAAAGGGGATATTGCGCAAACTAATGCCACACATTCTTCAAGGAATGCCATACTCAGTCAAAAAAAGCTTTTCATTCCCGAATGGGTTCTATTTTGAAACAAAGTTGCATTATTTTTGAAAGTGTTAGATGCTGCACTTCTTTGGGCATATGCCACGCATGTATACCACATTTTCTTCAAGGAATGCCAATGAATAGAACATTCCTTTGAAAGGCACTATATTTTATACATAAGAGGATTCTATTTTGAAATATGGTCCCATCGTATTCAAAGAACATTGCACTCATTTCAAAGAGAAACTGCACTTTTTGCAGGAGGTATTCCACTCCCTTGCACCACATGTTCTTCAAGGAATACCACAAGAAAAACATCTTGTGAAAAATCGTGTGTACGCAAGAGGGTTCTATTTTCAAACAAGGCTGCAATCTTTCGCTAAAGCGTGTTGCCCTTTACAATTGTTTTTGCATATGTTGAATTGAATATCCTTTTAAAAATATATGAGCGGGTCTTCTGCACAGTCAATGAGAGCAGTCTGTCTTTCAAAATGCCTGACATTTCTTTTTTTTGCCTCTCTTGCCGTCTGGTTTGAAAGGTTTGTTTGCCCGGGCGAAGATTCCGGGGATCGGGGTGCCTCGCTAGATCGGGGCAGAATAGTAAACCTTACCCGATGGTCAAGGAACTGCAAAAGTGAAAGATTGAAGAACTCAAAAACTGAAATCTGTTGAAGAATCGGACTGTGTCCCATGTCCCCACAAGTTTCAGTTTTTCAGTTTGAGTTTGCAGAGATCTAAGGCCAAAATTTGGCTGTCATTTAGGTTTTTGGCAGTTTCATGATATGAGCACATTGTTCTCATGTAATTACACGTTTTTTTTTCATTCGTACCACTACATTTTACCGCTATTTGCGTGTTATTGTAAAGTTTATCTTTTCATATTATCACACTATATGAAGGCCATTGCCCCCCAGCAAAGCTAACACGTGGCCCATGTGGGGCCAATGACCACATATATACACATCATCTCCAGTATTGTGGGATTTCTTGTTTTGTTCCCACATTGACCAAATAATACTGGGAGTATTTCTTCGCCATGCATAAGATCCAAACCGATTTCCAACATTTACAAAGATTGGCAAAGTGCCCATGTTTGTGGATAATATACCCAATAATTGCGGGTAAACTCTGAATCTTTGACGCGAACCCCAGTACTTGTGGATAAGGTTCTTCGCTCTTTGGTGGTGATTTCTGGGTCATATCCCAAAGTTGGCCAACATCTCACCTTTCTTTTTGGTTGAAGATTTCCCCGAGGTTTGATGTCCTTTTCCATCCTGAGGCAGTCGATGGCGTCAAGCGCTTCACTTGGGGACGTCCGCGTCAACTCGAGGCCTCCAAGCAGATGTGGTGACCCGGGGAAGCCTCGCCTGCAGCTATGAACGAGGTGTTGCTGGGTGGAAGATGGTGGCAGTTGGGCTGATGAGTTTTCATATGGGGAGATGGGATGGCGGGGTGCTGGTGTGTTTTTTTTCAGGGATTGAAGTGACAAAGATAAAGTAGGGGGTTGAAACATGAATGGCAAAGGTGCCACCTGGGGGACTGGTGCCAACTCCACCATAGCGGGTGGCCCAAGATAACCACTGGTTTGGAGCACCCCAAGGTTGAGAAACACCCATATGCCAGCATGTACATCGTACAAACCATGCAATCGATTCAGTGGCTACAGGTTTTCGAAAAAAAGGATATATCCCACGAAGCTCTATACGTGCGGCCAAAAGAAATGCTTTCCAGAATCTTTTTTCCGGGTTGCAAGCTGACAATCTCTCTATTTTTCACCATAAGAATGTCATTTTTCACAGTTTCCCATCGATCAGGGATTACTTGGCAGGTTCTTTTTGGCTTCACGCCTTACAGCTGCTGAGCTGGCCACAGTCCTTGGTTCTTTGTGGCGCCATCATCACCTGCTGCAGCTCCGGGTCGCAGTGGCAGTGGGCGCAGGAGTGGTGATGGCACTGCTCACTGCTCAACATGGGTGATATGGCTATGGATCAATACCTATTAACCTCTGGTAAACGTTTACATAACTATGGAAAATCACCGTTTTTAATGGGAAAATCCACTATTTCGACTGGGCCATTTTCAATAGCTATTTTGACATAACCAGAGGGTAACCTACTAATAGCATTTTTAGGGGGATGAAGATCCATAAAACCCAGCTATTTTGATGTGAACAAAATACAGGGCTACAAAATGGGTTTTGACACACTGCCATATCCCCAATTGCAAATTTGATATAGGTAAAATTGTGATTGAAGCGTCATTTTGGCTATGCGGATTTGTTTTTTAAGTTAGAATTTCTTGAAACCTTGAAGAACTTTTTTTCAGGATCCCATTGTGAAAGACCTGCTGATTGATCACAACTACTTCCCCTGTCCCTTCTTGCTGATGTGGGTCCTGACAAAAGCTACTGGGCAAGTTTCAGAAAATCTAGGGTTTGGATCAGATCTGTTGTACTTCCAAGATGAGAATGTGGTTTTTGGACATGTTGACGGGGTCATACATATGTCTATACACTATAATATACCATATACCCTATATATATATATATACATACATACATCCACACATACATCCACATTCATGCATGCACGCATGCATCCATCCATGAATAGCTACGTACATCATCGTACATTAACATAAACAGATCATCAACAGATCTATATCAGATCTATATCATACCCAGCCACACTTAGGTGATTTTTTTTGCAAACTTGGCGAGTGGGACAAGTTTCATCCACTTCCAGCCGTCTAGGAGACACTTGTCTCGAAGCTCGCGTCTCGAAGCTCGCGAAGCTTCCAGATCTGTTGGGTCCCCGGAGTCCCCGGTCCTGAAAAAGTTTGCTGGAACTTCATGGTTATTTATGGTTATTTATGGTTATTTATGGTTATTTATGGTTATTTATGGTTATTTGTGGTTATTTGTGGTTATTTATGGTTATTTATGGTTATTTATGGTTATTTACTATCAATTCCGCCGCATTGCATTTTGTTGTTGTACCCTCCATAAATGATGATAACGTCAAGCTGGAGGGAAAAATTGAACCAGGATATTGTCTTTATTTTGACGATAGCCCATGTACCAAACATGGCCATCAAATCAACTTGACAAAATTACCTCTCGCCGACATCCGCAATTCACATCAATTCACTGTGCTTTGGAAACGGCTGTGAACATGTTGCGAAGCGGAAGAGGCTGTTCACAGCCGATCTGAGGGTCCTGAGTTAACACCCCAGAAATGGCTAAAGCCATAGTTTCAGCTTCATTTTCCCCTTGATACTTCCCATGTGTTGCTGACATACTCAAGTTTTTCTCAGTTTCAATTCCCAACAATTTTGTTGGTTCAACCACCATTTTTTTACTGGCTGATTTATCTATTTAAGAATCCCCATGAATCGACTGGAAAAGTCCAGAACATTTGCTGGAAAAGGATCCCAACTCTAACAGGCTCTCGCGCTGCCTTGATGGGCATGGTGCTCCTGGCCTGTTAAAAATGCTGGCGCTCCATGGTGAAGCCCTGGACTCTGGATCCATGGTCTTTCTGTCGTGGTATCTGAGTATCCTTTGCAACTGATACATCAAGATGTACGGCCCTATTTGAGAGCCAACAAAAGCCCAAACCCAACATGGGATCACTCTAGATCGCCCCAAATCACCCGAAGAAAGCCTGGCCTAACTATATTATGGTCGAAGGAGACACGCACATTTGTTTTCGGGGTTGGGCTTCGTTGGATTTGCCAGTCTTTGTTATTTTTTCAAGACTATTTTTGATTTGTCTAGATCTCTGTATTATATACGTATATATATATATATACACATTATACATACCCGTATTGTACATACATTCATATTCGTATATATATATAATATAATATAATATAATATGATATAATATGATATCATAGAATATGATATGATATGATATGATATCATATAATATGATATGATATAACATAACATAATATAATATAATACTCAATATAACATAACATAACATAACATGATATAATATAACATAACATAATATAATATAATATAATATTATGTTATATTATATTATATTATGTTATGTTATATTATATTATATTATATTACATTATATTACATTACATTACATTACATTATATTATATTATATTATGTTATATTATATTATATTATATTGTATTATATTATATTATATTATATTATATATACACACATGCTTCAACTTTTTTCGTAAATTTCTTCAAGTCGCAAATTTGCAACACAAGGGCGGCAATCGAGACTGATGGAAACAGCTCCCAGGACAACACCTCCTGTCCAAAAAAAACAGTGTAGGAGATTCTTAGGTGTAACTTTTTCTGCGCAGTATTTTCTCGGGCAGTTTCCAGTCCCAAACAAGCTGACGAAACCATCAAATGATGATTTTGCCGTTTGATCACTCCAAAAAAGGGGCGTCAATGATTCTAGCCATTCCCAGGTCTCAGGTCTGTTCAAAAATGGGCGAGTCTCCAACATGGGATCAGACGAAGCCACTTTTTGATATTTCCATGGGTTTCCGTCAAAAAAATCACCATTTGGGTCCCCAGTTTCAGGACACCAACACATTTTGGCATACAAGATGCCGTGGCGGGACACAGTCAGGCCCGCTCTGGACACTGGGAACGGACCTGTGCCAGGCTTCAGGAGTGTGGGATCGAAGGCGTTGACTGATTTTTGGTTAGCTTTTTGGGGAATTATTTTACAGAGCTTTAAGAACTAATTGATTTTCGGGGAGCTTTCTGGGGAATTCATTTTACTGAACTTTACGAACTAATTGATTTTCGGGGAGCTTTTTGGGGAATTCATTTTACTGAACTTTACGAACTAATTGATTTTCGGGGAGCTTTTTGGGGAATTCATTTTACTGAACTTTACGAACTAATTGATTTTCGGGAAGCTTTTTGGGGAATTAATTTACTGAACTTTACGAACTAATTGATTTTCGGGGAGCTTTTTGGGGAATTAATTTTACTGAACTTTACGAACTAATTGATTTTCGGGGAGCTTTTTGGGAAATTAGTTTTACTGAACTTTACGAACTAATTGATTTTCGGGGAGCTTTCTGGGGAATTAATTTTACTGAACTTTACGAACTAATTGATTTTCGGGGAGCTTTTTGGGGAATTAATTTTACTGAACTTTACGAACTAATTGATTTTCGGGGAGCTTTTTGGGGAATTCATTTTACTGAACTTTACGAACTAATTGATTTTCGGGGAGCTTTTTGGGGAATTCATTTTACTGAACTTTATACGAACTAATTGATTTTCGGGGAGCTTTTTGGGGAATTAATTTTACTGAACTTTACGAACTAATTGATTTTCGGGGAGCTTTTTGGGGAATTAATTTTACTGAACTTTACGAACTAATTGATTTTCGTTTTTGGAGCTTTTAATTGGGGGAATTAATTTTACTGAACTTTACGAACTAATTGATTTTCGGGGAGCTTTTTGGGGAATTAATTTTTACATATTTTGACTGAACTTTACGAACTAATTGATTTTCGGGGAGCTTTTTGGGGAATTAATTTTACTGAACTTTACGAACTAATTGATTTTCGGGGAGCTTTTTGGGGAATTAATTTTACTGAACTTTACGAACTAATTGATTTTCGGGGAGCTTTTTGGGGAATTAATTTTACTGAACTTTACGAACTAATTGATTTTCGGGGAGCTTTTTGGGGAATTCATTTTACTGAACTTTACGAACTAATTGATTTTCGGGGAGCTTTTTGGGGAATCGGGCTTAATTTTACTGAACTTTACGAACTTGAATTTTGATTTTCGGGGAGCTTTTGGGGAATATTTGCTGAACTTACGACTAATTGATTTTCGGGGAGCTTTTTGGGAATTAATTTTACTGAACTTTACGAACTAATTGATTTTCGGGAGCTTTCGGGGAATGAATTTTTACATATTTACTGAACTTTATGAATTAATTAATTTTCGGGGAGCTTTTGGGAATAATTTACTGAACTTCGAACAATTGATTGGGGGAGGTTTTTTGGGAATGGAATTAATTGTACTGAACTTACGACTAATGATTTTCAGGGGAGCTTTTTGGGAATTCATTTTACTGAACTTTACGAACTAATTGATTTTCGGGCAGCTTTTTGGGGAATTAATTTTACTGAACTTTACGAACTAATTGATTTTCGGGGAGCTTTTTGGTGAATTAATTTTACTGAACTTTACGAACTAATTGATTTTCGGGGAGCTTTTTGGGGAATTAATTTTACTGAACTTTACGAAATAATTGATTTTCGGGGAGCTTTTGGGGAATTCATTTTACTGAACTTTATACGAACTAATTGATTTTCGGGGAGCTTTTTGGGGAATTCATTTTTACATATTTTTACTGAACTTTACGAACTAATTGATTTTCGGGGAGCTTTTTGGGGAAACTGAACTTTACGAACTAATTGATTTTCGGGGAGCTTTTTGGGGAATTAATTTTACTGAACTTTACGAACTAATTGATTTTCGGGGAGCTTTTTGGGGAATTAATTTTACTGAACTTTAAGAACTAATTGATTTTCGGTGAGCTTTTGGGGGAATTAATTTTACTGAACTTTACGAACTAATTGATTTTCGGGGAGCTTTTCGGGGAATGAATTTTTACATATTTTTACTGAACTTTATGAATTAATTAATTTTCGGGGAGCTTTTTGGGGAATTAATTTTACTGAACTTTACGAACTAATTGATTTTCGGGGAGCTTTTTGGGGAATTAATTTTACTGAACTTTACGAACTAATTGATTTTCGGGGAGCTTTTGGGGAATTATTTTTACTGAACTTTACGAACTAATTGATTTTCGGGGAGCTTTTTGGGGAATTAATTTTACTGAACTTTACGAACTAATTGATTTTCGGGGAGCTTTTGGGGAATTATTTTTACTGAACTTTACGAACTAATTGATTTTCGGGGAGCTTTTTGGGGAATTAATTTTCTGAAACTACGAACTACTTTGATTTTCGGGGAGCTTTTTGGGGAATTAATTTTACTGAACTTTACGAACTAATTGATTTTCGGGGAGCTTTTTGGGGAATTAATTTTACTGAACTTTACGAACTAATTGATTTTCGGGGAGCTTTTGGGGAATTATTTTTACTGAACTTTACGAACTAATTGATTTTCGGGGAGCTTTTTGGGGAATTAATTTTACTGAACTTTACGAACTAATTGATTTTCGGGGAGCTTTTGGGGAATTATTTTTACTGAACTTTACGAACTAATTGATTTTCGGGGAGCTTTTTGGGGAATTAATTTTTACATATTTTTACTGAACTTTACGAACTAATTGATTTTCGGGGAGCTTTTTGGGGAATTAATTTTACTGAGCTTTACGAACTAATTGATTTTCGGGGAGCTTTTCGGGGAATTAATTTTACTGAACTTTACGAACTAATTGATTTTCGGGGAGCTTTTTGGGGAATTAATTTTACTGAACTTTACGAACTAATTGATTTTCTTTGCTTTTTGGGAATTAATTTTACTGAACTTTACGAACTAATTGATTTTCGGGGAGCTTTTTGGTGAATTAATTTTACTGAACTTTACGAACTAATTGATTTTCGGGAAGTTTTTTGGGGAATTAATTTTACTGAACTTTACGAACTAATTGATTTTCGGGGAGCTTTTTGGGGAATTAATTTTACTGAGCTTTACGAACTAATTGATAATTTATTTTCAGCAGAGCTTTATTGGGGATTAATTTTACGTCTAACTTTAAACTAACTCATTGATTTCGGGGAGGTTTGGGGAGTTTTTGGGGAATTAATTTTACTGAAACTTAAAACGAACTAATTGATTTTCCGGGGAGGTCTTGGTTAATTAATTTTCTGACTTTCGAACTGCTTGATTTGTCGGGGAGCTTTTTTGGGGAATAATTCTTGGTGAACTTTACCACTAATTGATTTTTCGGGGAGTCTTTTTTGGGGAATTCATTTTACTGAACTTTACTAACTAATTGATTTTCGGAGCCCTTTTCTTTCGGGGAATTAATTTTACTGAACTTTACGAACTAATTGATTTTCGGGGAGCTTTTTGGGGAATTAATTTTACTGAACTTTACGAACTAATTGATTTTCGGGGAGCTTTTTGGGGAATTAATTTTACTGAACTTTAACGAACTAATTGATTTTCGGGGAGCTTTTCGGGGAATTCATTTTACTGAACTTTACGAACTAATTGATTTTCGGGGAGCTTTTTGGGGAGCTTTTTGGGGAATTAATTTTACTGAACTTTACGAACTAATTGATTTTCGGGGAGCTTTTTAGGGAATTAATTTTACTGAACTTTACGAACTAATTGATTTTCGGGGAGCTTTTTGGGGAATTAATTTTATTGAACTTTATGAACTAATTGATTTTCGGGCAGATTTTTGGGGAATCCATTTTACTGATCTTTACGAACTAATTGATTTTCGGGGAGCTTTTTGGGGAATTCATTTTACTGAACTTTACGAACTAATTGATTTTCGGGGAGCTTTTTGGGGAATTAATTTTACTGAACTTTATACGAACTAATTGATTTTCGGGGAGCTTTTTGGGGAATTAATTTTACTGAACTTTACGAACTAATTGATTTTCGGGGAGCTTTTTGGGGAATTAATTTTACTGAACTTTACGAACTAATTGATTTTCGTGGAGCTTTTTGGGGAATTAATTTTACTGAACTTTACGAACTAATTGATTTTCGGGGAGCTTTTTGGGGAATTAATTTTTACATATTTTGACTGAACTTTACAAACTAATTGATTTTCGGGGAGCTTTTTGGGGAATTCATTTTACTGACCTTTACGAACTAATTGATTTTCGGGGAGCTTTTCGGGGAATTAATTTTACTGAACTTTACGAACTAATTGATTTTCGGGGAGCTTTTTGGGGAATTAATTTTACTGAACTTTACGAACTAATTGATTTTCGGGGAGCTTTTTGGGGAATTAATTTTACTGAACTTTAACGAACTAATTGATTTTCGGGGAGCTTTTCGGGGAATTCATTTTACTGAACTTTACGAACTAATTGATTTTCGGGGAGCTTTTTGGGGAGCTTTTTGGGGAATTAATTTTACTGAACTTTACGAACTAATTGATTTTCGGGGAGCTTTTTAGGGAATTAATTTTACTGAACTTTACGAACTAATTGATTTTCGGGGAGCTTTTTGGGGAATTAATTTTATTGAACTTTATGAACTAATTGATTTTCGGGCAGATTTTTGGGGAATCCATTTTACTGATCTTTACGAACTAATTGATTTTCGGGGAGCTTTTTGGGGAATTCATTTTACTGAACTTTACGAACTAATTGATTTTCGGGGAGCTTTTTGGGGAATTAATTTTACTGAACTTTATACGAACTAATTGATTTTCGGGGAGCTTTTTGGGGAATTAATTTTACTGAACTTTACGAACTAATTGATTTTCGGGGAGCTTTTTGGGGAATTAATTTTACTGAACTTTACGAACTAATTGATTTTCGTGGAGCTTTTTGGGGAATTAATTTTACTGAACTTTACGAACTAATTGATTTTCGGGGAGCTTTTTGGGGAATTAATTTTTACATATTTTGACTGAACTTTACAAACTAATTGATTTTCGGGGAGCTTTTTGGGGAATTAATTTTACTGAGCTTTACGAAC